CAGTCTCATATTGCTAAATCCACAGCAGTACTTCATTAGAAGGCATTAGAACGATACCATTTCTAAGGGTGGAGTGATACCATGCTACCAGAATAGTGCCAAGTTCAAATAGTGATGCCTTGTTACCAAGAGCTACAAAAAAAAACACATGAAACAAATCAATGTAACATATCAGCATGGAAAAATAACCTGTTTGCATTTAAATAGCACTTTAGTACATATATATATATATATATATATATATATATATATATATATATATATATATATATACATACTCACCTAGATGGATGGAGCATTGGTCCAGTGTTGTTTTGAGCAATGTTTTGAGCAATCCAAAGATCGCTGATTGCTCAGTTCTCAGACTTCATTTTGCAGAGAGCTGGTGACTGCAGTACTGAAGCTTATCATATTCAGTAGTCACTTTCAGTGGGCAGTAAAGCAAATTCTTAAAGTCTAACTGAATTAAAAAAAGGAAGATTTGCCATGTTGTTGTTTTAAATTAAGAAATGTTATTTATGCCAAAGTAGTACTCTGAAAATGTACCATTTGTCTAGAAATTCCCATTTAAAACTAGTAATGCACTTTTTCGTTTGTGAGGATACTTACTATGCCTTGTTTTGCACCTTGTCTCTGTGTGGAGGCAGGACATGGCTTCCTCATGTTAAAGCCCCTAGCAAAGAGAAAAGTGAAGCCTAGTACACACTATCAGATTTTTTTTGTTCAACTTAGCGGGCTAAACGGAAAAAAAACTGACAGCTCAGGAGGAGCCACTGTACTAACTATCCAATGTTAGTACAGAGATTGCTGTGCTATTGTGTTCTGACAGGGGGGGCAGCCCCCCGCCAGAACACTTCGGTCAGCACTCTCAGCCATTGGCTGAGAGAGCTGATCGGGAGCTATTCGGCAGACCTTTTTCAGTCATGTCTCTTCGACAGAAGCTGGCCATTGGACGGCTGCCATAAATTACAAATGTACAAATTCAGCCTGTGTACTAGGCTTGAGAAGCACAGTAGGGACATCACCAAATATTACTCCAAATCTCATGAGACTAGCAGTCAAAGGCAGCAGTGCCTCAGATCTCATGCCTGCAGATATGCAGCTATGATGTGGTAGGTACAGTAGTATCTAGGCACACTCGTATACCAGGATGTTCACTGCTAATATTCAGGATGAATTCAGGACAAAAGGTAGGTTTTAGGGCTATTGCTTTGGCACAATTCACATTTCTAATGTTCCCTATAACATAGCATATCTTCATTTTTTGAGATCAGGTCCACTTTAAGGGTGAGGCTGTTGATATCCTAGTGCTGTTAGGTGTTGAAAATGCAGTTTGATTTAGCAAACATGACTTCTGTGTCCCAACTGTCTGCAGAGACCAATCACAAAAACACAATAGAACATTACATGATGCCAGAAACAGGAGATGTCTGCTGCAAAAGGAAATGTGAATACAGACAGTCCCTGGGTTATGAGCAAGATTCTGTGGGTTTGTTCCTAAGTTGAATTTGTATGTAAACTGGAACAGATACATTTTTTAACTGTAGCTCCAGCGAAAAAAAATGTTTAAGTTTTAGATAGCATAGGGGGTATTTATCCCCTCTTCAGCAGCCAGTGTGGAGAGAGAAATAATATAGGATGATGTTAAGGTTGTGTTTGCAGATGCTGTAATTGTAAGGAGAGCCCATCCACGGCCCGTGTTGCAGAGAGCACTGTGACTGGCTGTGCAGCCGGATGTAGTTAACTCTGCAAAGAGGAGGACTTTTGGGAAAAGTCTGGAATTGTGGGAGATGCAGTCCCCAGAGACAGTTTTCTATTGAACCATGGATTGGAAGGTCTATAAGACCAGAGGACAAGAAGCTGGGGAGGATGAAAAAGGAAGAGAGTTCTGGGGCAGAGGTCAGTTCTATGGAAGACAGTGAGATGTGAACATAAAGTGGGCTGCTGTGCCAGAGAGCTTCTTGCTAGAAGGATCACTGCAGTGTTGAAAATACAAAGAGATCATCAATGCTGATTACTGAGTCACTGCTGACATCATCAGGTATGTGGGATCATCATCGCCAAGTCAGTGAAGAATCATTATCATGGAGTCATGAGCGGCCACTGGCCCAAAAAATTACCAGCAAACTGGCAAGTGGGAGGGGTTTGGAGAGACTAGAACTGAAAAACATAGGCGCTGTGGAAAATGCTCTCAGACAAGCACCTTAATGAAGGTGCATCTTTATTGGGTGAGACAAAGTAGCAAATATAATAAAATTTGACCAGCCTGAAGTGGACAGTGTGACTCCAACAGACGGCCCATCCGCTCTGAAGGGAGCTGAGATCGGAGAATGCTCCTGTTGACTTCAAATCACATGGTGTCAGAGTACCGGCATCCCGGGGGTGGTGTCATCATGGCAAGCGAAGGCAGTCCGGCGTAGGCTTCAGCTGGGAGCATGTGTAGGGTTACCAAGACAACATGTTTCACGCAGTTGCGCTTTGTCAAGTCTCCACTGAAAAAAATAGGCGCTGTGTAAAATGCTCTCAGACAAGCACCTTAATGAAGGTGCATCTTTATTGGGTGAGACAAAGTAGCAAATATAATAAAAATTTGACCAGCCTGAAGTGGACAGTGTGACTCCAATGGACGGCCCGTCTGCTCTGAAGGGAGCTGAGATCGGAGAATGCTCCTGTCAACTTCAAATCAAGTGGTGTCAGCGTACCGGCATCCTGGGTGGTGTCACCATGGCAAGCGAAGGCAGTGTCCGGCGTTGGCTTCAGCTGGGAGCATGTGTAGGGTTACCAAGATGACATGTTTCGCGCAGTTGCGCTTTGTCAAGTCTCCTTTGTATGAGTTTCCGTTTGGAGAGACTAACAGACCTTTAGTTGCCAGTAACACCCCCTTAGTTAGGTCTTTCCTAGTTTGGGTCCTAGACATTAGGTCCTCGAGATTTCTTTTAGCATTATACAACATTGGTACCTACTATTGTTGAATTGTTCACTGATAATGCCATTTAATTTACTGCTGTGTGTGTTGCACAAATAAATGTTCCTTCATTAATATTGGTGTGTTAGAGGGTGTGGCATTGGCATAAGGGTCCTTGCCATCAAGAGTAAGCGGATCCAAACATCAGTGGCTCCTTGGGGGTAAATGCTGCACTGGCATACAACCACCTGACATGAAATTTGGCACTGTAAACATTTCAGAGGAATAAAAAAAATGAGCTCATTTGGATGCTTAATGCAAAAAAAGATAAACATATACTGCACTTTTACTATTATGATGAATTGATTTATGGCACAATTATATCTGACACAAACTCAGTTTTAGTAAAATGATATTGCAAGAAACCATGATTTTTCCCAGGCATAATTAAAAATCATAATTAAAAATCAAGGCTGAATCATATAAAGTACACTTAATAGGCACAGCACCCACTACTCCCTTCCAGGCACAACTAGGCAACAGAAAAAACAGTCTCAGTGCATGTGTGTAGCAGATGTGGTTATCATACACATAGGGGTTGATTTATTAAAAACAAATATGTTGTTCACTCTCTAGTGAGGTTGCAAATTTTTGGTTAAACATTATTAGATGGTGAAAGTCAGCAGAGCTTCACTCATTCACTTAGCTCTAAGACAAATTCCCTTGCAAAGATAACAGTCTATATGGCTTTAGTAAAGCAAACCTTAGTGGAACTGTCCTACAAAACATCCAAAGAGTCACAAATCCAAAAGAGTAAGTACTATGCTAAGATGTTCTGCTTTGAAGATATTGATGCTATTTATTGAACAACATGATCAAATAACAATTCAACATACAATCAAAAAACACCAGCCTGCAGTATAAAAGAAATCAAAGCAAATCAAGTTGGAAATAGAGCCACTACTGAATACGATACATTTTAATGTAATTCAACAGAAAAAAGCTGTCAGAGAATATATTCTGGCTGTGGTCTATTACAATCGTTTTTGAATCTAAGCCTTTAAAAAAGATCTTGACATTAACGGTAAATGAGAAATTGCAAATGTTTTTGTTAAGTACAGGTGAAGCTACATCAGGCCAATTTGCTTGAAAAGTTTTTAAAAGGATTACTAAAACGTATGTGCTTTACCATACATAGTTTTGCCCAGTGGTGGACTGACAACTCATGGAGCCCCTGGGCAATAGGGGATCATGGGGCCCCTGTGTCCTGCCCACACTCGAATCACACCCAAAAAAGCCTATGAAAGGTACCAGGGGTATCTCATGGGGCCCCCTACTGACCCTGGGCCCTCGGGCAGTGCCCGAGTTTCCAAATGGTCAGTCCTCCCCTGGTCTTACCTTATCTATGCGCAGACAAATAGACAGAATGAGTATTGTTCAAACGGAACTCATGCAGATATAAAAATACTATGAAATGCACTTGCATTTTCCTTTTAAAATAGTTATGTATTTGTAGCACACAACTAAATACTGTAAGTCCCTGATTGAGTCTTGATGTCAGCCTCCTGTCCTTCCGTGCACAGCTACTTTCACACTGAGGAGTTTTTGAAGTGTTTTTGTATAAAAAAAAAAACGCCTGAAAAGCTCAAGCAAAATGCTTCCCTATGTATGTGAATGTATATCTATGTATGTTTTCACACTGAGGCATTGTGTTTGTGGTGCGGAGTAAAAACTCCTGCTTGCAGCATCTTTGGGGCATGTTTGGGGAGTTAAAAAAACGCCCCAAAAAATGCCTCTTTCCATTGAAATCAATAAAAAAACGCCTGAAAAACATCTGAAAAACGCCTGAAAAGCTCCTGAAAGACGCCTCTGAGAAGCATTGTTGATGCAGTTTTTAAGTCACGTGTTCTTTAACCCCTCGCCTACAGGGCACTTATACCCCCTTCCTGCCCAGGCCAATTTCCAGCTTTCAGTGCTGTTGCACTTTAAATGAAAATTGCGCGGTCATGCAACATTGTACCATATGAAATTTCTATCATTTTTTTTGTGACAAATAGAGCTTTATTTTGGTGGTATTTAATTACCTCTGGATTTTTTATTTTTTCTTAAACAAAACAAAAACCACTGAAAATTTTGAAAAAAAAAGTTTTTTTCTTAGTTTTTGTTATAAAATTTTGTAAATAAGTGATTTTTTCTCCTTCACTGATATGCGCTAATGAGGCTGTAGTGATGGGCACTGATAGGCTGCACTGATGGACACTGATAGGTGGCACTGATGGGCACTGATGAGGAGGCACTGGTAGGTGGCACTGATGGGCATTGACAGGCATCACTGATGGGCACTGAAAGGCAGCACTGATACATGGCACTGATATATGGCACTGATAGGCAGCACTGATAGGCGGCACTGACTGGCACTGATAGGCTGCACTGATGCGCACTGATAGGTGGCACTGATAGGTGGCACTGATTGACATTGATAGGTGGCACTGACTGGCACTGATGGGTGACACTGAAAGGCAGCTCAGATGGACACTGATATGTGGCATTGATGTGCACTGGTAGGCACTGATATGTGGCATTGATGTGGCACTGATGGGCACTGGCACGAGGAACTGATGAGCACTGACATGAGGCACTGATGGACACTGACAGGTGGCGCTGCTGGGGCTACACTGATCATCAGGGCACACTGATCATCAGTGCCCTGATGATCAGTGTACATGTCCCCTCTGCGGAAAGCCAATTACCGGCTCTCCTCTCCTCTTGAGCTGTCAGCATGACAGTTCGAGAGGAGAGAAATGCCGATAAGCGGCATTTCCCTGTTTACATGTGATCAGCTGTGATTGGACACCGCTGATCACATGACCGAGCCGACATCTTCGGCTCTTTCCGTGATCGGTGATCCGCTGTGTCCGAGGGACACAGCGCACCGCCGATCGCAGCGCTGCACGCTCCTTGAGCCACGCATGCGTGGTGAGAATGACAGGACCTCATATGACGTCCTCCCAGAACGAGAGAACCACCTTGCGTCCGTCATATTACTATATGGCAGGCGGGAGATGGTTAAAAAAGCTCAGGAAAGCATGGCAAAAGCGTGGTAAGAATGCCTGTGCATCTTTGCTGTGTTTTTGTGGTGGATCAGTGTGAAAGTAGCCTTACTGTCTGGCAGAAGCATATGAATCAATTGGCTGGACAGAATCATTTGGCAGATAACAAAGTTAACATAAACATATTTCAATTTTAGTTGTTACATAAAGTTTAACTTTCACAGAAAATGAAGCAAATGGGATCTATACATCAAAATGCTGTGTTAGAAAAACAGCCTATTTATGGTACAGAATTATCAGGATGAGACAGCAATTGCACTCCCCTCTGCCCTTGACAAGCAACCAGCTGTTACATTAGGTCAATTCACTTGCCCTAGTGAAACAAAAATGAAAGATTAAGCAGCACATGCAAATAAATACTATAGTTCCATTAATTGCTTGGGTGGAGGATCAAATCACAATACAAAAACCCAGAAAAACAAGGTTGCCAATAAATTGCAGACTCCCAGATCTTGCAAACTGGGGATCAAAAGGTGCTTAAAAAAAACAAAAGACAGCTGGTTAAAATAAGTACATCACTGCTTTTGGATGGGTTCAAAGAAGACTACAGTACCAATACAGAAGCACCAGAACACAACAATATGCAAATAAAAAAGCACCTAAATCTCCTCATGTATTGATTTGTAAATATGTACTTGGTTATAATATGTTATAATCTCTCTCTCTCAACACCTCTCTCTCCCTCTCTCTATATATATATATACCAGGGGCGGACTGACCATTCGAGCACTCGGGCACTGCCCGAGGGCCTGGGGTCAGTGGTGGGTCCCATGAGATGCCCCTGGTATCTTTTTCATCAGCTTTTTCATAGGCTTTTCTGGGATTGGGGGAGGGCACAGGGGCCCCATGATCCCCTATTGCTCAGGGGCCCCATGCATTGTCAGTCCACCCCTGATATATATATATATATACAGTGGGGATTGAAAGTTTGGGCACCCCAGCTAAAAATTTGTATTAATGTGCATAAAGAAGCCAAGGAAAGATGGAAAAATCTCCAAAAGGCATCAAATTACAGATTAGACATTCTTATAATATGTCAACAAACGTTCGATTTTATTTCCATCATTTACACTTTCAAAATAACAGAAAACAAAAAAATGGCGTCTGCAAAAGTTTGGGCACCCTGCAGAGTTAATATCTTGTACTGCCCCCTTTGGCAAGTATCAAAGCTTGTAAACGCTTTTTGTAACCAGCCAAGAGTCTTTCAATTCTTGTTTGATGTATCTTTGCCCATTCTTCCTTACAAAAGTCTTCCAGTTCTTTGAGATTTCTGGGCTGTCTGTCACGCACTGCTCTTTTAAGGTCTATCCATAGATTTTCAATTATGTTGAGGTCAGGAGATTGTGAAGGCCATGGCAAAACCTTCAGTTTACACCTCTTGATGTAATCCTTTGTGGATTTTGAGGTGTGTTTAGGATCATTATCCATTTGTAGAAGCCATCCTCTCTTTAACTTCCGCTTTTTCACAGATGGCATCAAGTTACCATCCAAAATTTGCTGAAATTTTATTCAATCCATTTTTCCTTCTACTCGTGAGATGTTCCCTGTGCCACTGGCTGCAACACAACCCCAAAGCATGATTGATCCAACCCCATGCTTAACAGTTGGACAGAGGTTCTTTTCATTAAATTCTGTGCCCCCTTCTTCTCCAAACGTACCTTTGTTCATTCCTGCCAAAAAGTTCAATTTTAACCTCATCGGTCCACAGAACTTGTTTCCAAAATGCATCAGGCTTGTCTATATGTTAATTTGCAAAGTTCAAACGATGATTTTTGTGGTGAGGATGTAGAAGAGGTTTTCTTCTGATGACTCGTCCATGAAGACCATATTTGTACAAGTATCTCTTTATAGAGGAATAGTGTACCACAACTCCAGTGTCTGCCAGATCTTTCTGGAGGGATCGTGCAGTCAAACGTGGGTTTTGAATTGTTTTTCTCACAATCCTGCGAGCTGTTCTGTTTGATATTTTTCTTGGTCTTCCAGATCTTGCTTTAACTTCCACTGTTCCTGATGACTGCCATTTCTTAATTACATTCCGAACAGAGGATATTGACATCTGAAAACGCTTTGCTATCTTCTTATAGCCTTCTCCAGCTTTGTGAGCGTCAACTATTTTCAGTTTCAGTTTTCTAGACAACTGCTTAGAAGAACCCATGGTGCTGATTGTTGGGGCAAGGTCAGATGAGTCTGGGCATTTAAAACCTTTGAGATTGACATCACCTGTTCTTCCCAGACGATGATTGAGAACAATCCATGACACCGGCAGGTCTCAGCTTGGCAAAGGGGGCAGTGCATGCAATAAATTCTGCAGGGTGCCCAAACTTTTGCAGACGCCATTTTTTTTGTTTTCTGTTATTTTGAAAGTGTAAATGATGGAAATAAAATCTAATTTTTGTTGACATATTATAAGAATGTCTAATCTGTAATTTGATGCCTTTTGGATATTTTTCCATCTTTCCTTGGCTTCTTTATGCACATTAATACAAATGTTTAGCTGGGGTACCCAAACTTTCGATCCCCACTGTATATACTGTGCAAAAATGTTAAAGTTTTAGGCAGGTATAAAAAATGCTGTAAATTAAGAATGCTTTCTTTTAGAAACAGAAGTGTTAATAGTTTTTTTTCTTTATCAATTAATAAAATGAAAGTAATCGAACATAAGAGAAATCTAAATCAAATCAATATTTGGTGTGACCACCCTTTGCCTTCAGAACAGTATCAATTGTGCTAGGTACACCTACACACAATTGCAAGTAGGTTGTTTCAAACATGTCGGTGAACTAACCGCTAATCTTCTGTGGTTGTAGGTTCTCTCAAATCCTTCTGTCTCTTCATGTGATCCCAGCACACCACTCCATGATGTTGACTTCAGGGCTCTGTGGACGCTAAACCATCACTTTCAGGACTCCTTGTTCTTCTTTCTGCTGAAGATAGTTCTTATAACAATGGCTGTATGTTTGGGGTTGTTGTCCTGCTGCAAAATACATTTGGGGCCAATCACATGCCTCCCTGATGGTATGGCATGATGGATAAGTATCTGCCTGTGTTTCTCAAAAACACTGATCCTGGCAAAATCTCCAACTCCATTTGCAGAAATGCAGCCCCAAACTTGCAAGGAACCTTCTACCTGCTTTACTGTTGCCTGCAGACACTCATTATTGTACCACTCTCCAGCCCTTTGGTGAACAAACTGCCTCCTATAACAGCTAAATATTTAAAATTTTGACTAATTTGTCCAAAGCACCTGCTGCCATTTTTCTGCATCCTAGTTCCTATGATTTTGTGTATAGCTGAGTTGCTTAGCCTTGTTTTTGGCCACAGTTCTTCCATGAAGACCACTTCTGGACAGATTTCTCCAGAGAGTAGATGGGTATACTTGGGTTCCATTGATTTCCACCAGTTCTGTGCTGATGACACTACTGGACATCTTCTGATGTCTAAGGGAAGTAAGCATGATGTTTCTTTCATCTGCTGCATTAAGTTTCTATGGCTGAGCGTTGCAGGTATGATCCTCAGTGTTGCCCATTTCTTTGTGCTTCTTCAAAAGAGCTTGCTCAGCACATCATAAAACCTCAACCTGCCTTTTCCTGGGAGAGCTTGCTGATGCAGTATAGCTATATTGTGTCTTGTTGCTGTTCTCAGTCTTGCCATGATGTATGAACTGTAACATGAAACTGTCTTCTACAACCTCACTTTAGTAGCAGAGTTTGGCTGTTTCTCACCCAGATTTACACAATTTTTATTTACAGTTTTTTACACAGCTGTTTCTATTTCAGTAAGCAACTGTGTTTCAAACTACATATGAAATTGATATCAAGCACCTGCTTGGTTTAATTGATTAATCATACACCTGACTCTATTCCTACAAAATCCCTGACTTTGTGCAAGTGCACAAAATTTGCACATTTAAAAATTAATGCTGGTACAAAACCAAAGGTAGTCATAAAAAATTTTGATTTGATTTAGATTTCTCTTTTCTAGAAGTGTGCTCACTTTGCATTTTGTAAATCGGTAAAAATAAATAATTAAAATATATGTTTTTGAAAGTATTCTTACATTATAGAATTTCTTCACACCTGCCTAAAACTTTTGCACAGTATATATACATATATAGATAGATACATATTTATATATGCATTACATACTGTATTTTGTGACAGGAAGCCAGGAAGAACTATGGGTTGTATCCAAAATGGAAGATACATTTGTCCCAGGTTTAAAGGACACCTTTTAGTAAAAAAAAATAAATGCACATTTTTTGCAGGCAAAAATCACCAGATCACTGGTGCCATACAGGTCTGCTGCAGATCTTGCAGTATATCTGCTTGCCCATATGGGATGTACAAGAGAGCAGATATACTGACAGGAAGAATGAATGAACCACTATGATGCTCCATAATGCAGTGGTAATCCACTGGGGACTTCATTGGGGACTCATTTTTAATTTGACAGCTAGCGTGGGGGGGGGGGAGAAGATCCCCCGCTAGCTGTCAAAGCGGAGAGCAGGTTTCAGTCTGATCTGAATATGGGTGTAACATGTAACATGTTACGAAAGGTGAACTTATCCTTTAAGCAATACACAGATTTTTTTTTTTCCTTTTTGTGTTGTGTGATGAACCTGTTTGGCTCACTGAGCAGTTAACAAGCTCAGTTGAAGCAGGTTGAGCACTCTAAACTCTATAAAACTCTCAGGCTGCTTAGGGAGGCTGTTGCATCCTGGAACTAGGTTTCTGAGCAGAACAGACTGAGGAGCAGCCATTTACGTGTATGGTGAGGTTAAGTCTGTGTGACTATGCACTCTGACATATTCTATGTGAAAGTCAG